TTTTGATAGCCGGGCACCATCAGCTTTCTTCGCCACATTTGCTTATGCACCCATTTGTCTTCAGTGATCCGTTCGACACCTCGTGATCACACAGGTGATATGCCCATAAAGGGTTCCAGTCTCAGAAACCTAGAGGGACAGCTCTACTCTCTCTTGTAGGGCCACCATGAGTCAGAGTGACCTCACTGGCACTGAGTTGGGTACTTGTGCTCCCTCTTTTTCCAAAGCAAACATAACGATGTCTATTTGGATTGGCTGTTGTGTTTCAATAACTAGTAAACTCCTTCACACGTCAACAAGGATTCCACAAATATTTGAGAAGAGAATTGCTGGGTAAATTTGAAAGCTTCTCTTAACCAAGCAAAAGTTCTGTGTTGGTTTTAAATTGGAGGGTAATCATAGCTGATAGTAAAAACTAAGGTGGTTAGGTAACAATCTGCTTAGCCTTCAAGGGGCAGCCCAGGAGAAGACTGCAGGCAAACACTGTGGCCCAGTGGCCTGCCACTGATGCGTTCGGCTGTGGGCTACCAGGCAGTCTAGTCCTGTGTCTGGGGAAGGTTTTTCTCCAGGGGACTTTACTTTTCTCTGTGATAACTTTACAAACCTGGCTGTTTGGGGTCAGAGCCCCCGTGGAGCACTCATTTGTTTCTCAGCAGGAAAGGAAACATCACTTAGCACAGCTCCATCAGATCTTGAATCATAAAATCCAGAGCTGGGGCTTCAGGCGCATCATTAGATGTGCCAGGATGCCTCCTCGGTAAACCATTCTTTGTTTTTTTCATGACCACAGGAAGAGAAAGCATTCTGTACCCAGATTGTTCTGAAAGATCATACTAAACATGCCATCAGCCTGAGAGTAGCTTTATGAACTCAAAAGCAAAACAAAGCAACAACCCTCCTGGCCATCAAGTCCTTTCCAACTCATAGGGCAGAACTCCTCTTCACAGGAGTAGAAAGCCGCCTCTTTCTCCCGAGAAGCAGCCGGTGATTTCAAACTACTGGCTGCAGTTAGCAGCCCAGTGCGCATTCATACCTTGGGAAGCGACATAAAAGGAAATAAACTTTTTACAGCAGCCATTTTAATCAGAGTACTCAGTTAAGTACCTGAAGGAATTCCCCTTCTCAAGAGAGCCCCCTGCCTGAGGCATTCAGCTGTGCTCGTTCTGTGGGCTTGTGTTCTAGCTCTTGGTTCTAGGGCTGCCACTTCTCTAGTGCCACGGTTTTCTTCTCTCCCTGGATCCATACACGGGGATCTTGGGTCCCAAGGTCCTGCTTTTCTCCAGGCTCGACTTTCTTGATGATAGTAATATCCAGCCCCTCGCCCAGCAGGATGGTGCATTGACCAATCCCCACAGTCGAGTTCTATGTTTTTGTAGCACAATTAGCCTTGTTAACAATCACTCACAACGGTATTATAAAAGATTGAAATGAGTTGGAATTGACATTGGTGGTGAGTTTGGGACCAGCATCTTACCCCACTTACTCTTACCTAGACACCTCAGG